AAAAAAAAAAAAAAAAAAAAAAAAAAAAGCAAATTTAGGTCAGGTGCAGTGGTTCATTCCTGTAACCCCAGCAGGGGTGGGTGAATCACTTGAGGTTAGGAGTTCGAGACTCAACTTACCAACATGGTGAAACCCCAGTCTCTACTAAAAACACAAAAATTGACCAGGCATGGTGGAAAGTGCCTGTAATGCCAGCTATACTGTAATCCTAGGTAATATTGTAATGATGTTCATCTTTGTCAGTGCAATCTAAGGATTTTTTTTTTTTTTTTTTTTTTTTTTAGTTGGAGTCTCACTCTGTCACCCAGGCTAGAGTGCAATGGTGGGATCTCAGCTCACCACAACCTCCACCTCCCGGGTTTAAGCAATTCTCCTGCCTCAGCCTCCCAAGTAGCTGGATTACAGGTGTGTACCATCACACCTGGCTAATTTTTGTATTTTTATGTAGAGACGGGGTTTCACCATGTTTGTCAGGCTTGTCTTGAACCCCTAACTTCATAATCTGCCCGACTCAGTCTCCCAAGGTGCTAGGATTACACGTGTGAGCCACCAGGCCCAGGTGCAAAGAACAGATTTAACACAAAGTTTTTCAAATTTCTCATTGCATTTTGTAAGAAATACAAAGAGCAATCCTGAGTGTATAGAATCTCTACAGACAATAAAGTTCCCAAAAATATTAAAAACAAAACAAAACAATGTTGGAGGCAGTACAGTTCCTGATTTCAAAATACATTAGAAAGATAGAGAATTAAAACAATTTGCTATGAGTATAAAGGTGAAAAAGTGGACTAATAAAATAGAATGGTCCGGGCGCAGTGGCTCACACCTGTAATCCCAGTACTTTGGGAGACTAAGGATGGTGGATCATAAGGTCAGCAGTTCAAGACCAGCCTGACCAACATAGTGAATCCTTTTTCTGACTAAAAATACACAAATTAGTCAGGCATGGTGGCAGGTGCTTGTAATCCCAGCTACTCAGGAGGTTGAGGCAGAAGAATTGCTTGAACTCAAGAGGTGGATATTGTGGTGAGCCAAGAGCTCTCTATTGCACTCCTGCCTGGGTGACAGAGTGAGACGGCATCTCAAAAAATAAAAAAATTATAATAATAATAATAACAATAAATGCAATAGGATGCAGCACATATATAAAAACTCTCACATATATCGTAATATAAAGAAGAGTCATTTACATACCCACAATTATCTTACCATTGTTACTGAAAGCCAATAGGTAAAAGCAATGCAAATTTCTGTCACCAAATAGTTCAGTAGATATAATTTAAAATATAAAAATACAAATATATTTACTCAGTTTGCAAAACAGCAGAAAGTATTCTAACTATAAAGGTAAATCTTGATGACATTATGCAAAATAAAATGAGCCAGCCACAAACAGCGATGTTATGAGTTCTACAAAGCAGTTACTCTTAGAAAGAGAAAACAGAATGGTGTTTGAAAAGTGCCAAGAAATGGGAAAAAGTGGTAGTCATTTAATGTGTATGGCAAAATTTCCAGAAATCTTTGATAAAACAATGTAAATATACTTAACATGCCTGAAATGGACACTGTTTTTGAGTCAGGGTCTTACTCTATCACACAAGCTGGAGTCCATGACATAATTATGGCTCACTGCAGCCTCATACTTTCAGGTTCAAATAATCCTCCCTCCTTAATCTCCCAAGTAGACAGGATCATACTACTATGTCTGGCTAACTTTTAAAATGTTTTATAGAGATGAGGTCTTCATATGTCTCTCAGGCTGTTCTCAAGCTTTTGAACTCACGCAGTCATCCTGCTGTGGCCTCCCAAAATTGGGGGATTCGATGTAAACCACCACCATCACTGGGCATGAAAGGTACACTTAAACAGATTGAAGATGGTAAATGTTATCCATTTAGACAAGATAAAGCAATCATTAAAAATCAGCTAAGAAAACATAAATACAAGATTAGCCATACACACATATATAATCAGATTGTAATAGAAATATGGTTATCTCTTAATTAAGCCACGCAACTACCCACGGTATACACAGAATTGCAAATTGTCTAACACTATAAAACCAAAAAACACAATAAAGTATGTTAAAAAAACCTACACTGAGAAAACACACTAATACACAACTGCAAAACAATAAATGTTTACTCATAAACTCTGGTATGCAACATTGATGAAGTGTTAACAAAGAATTTGTGTGGATAACTACAATAGTTTACTTTATGAACTCATTGAAGATGAGTATTTTGAATCATTGGCATCCACTGTAATGCAGTAAAGTTTCATATAAAATGCAGTATAATCCTAAACAGCAGATTCTAATGCCAAACTTTTGATAAATAAGCATTTAAGTGAGATAATTTTTAAGTTTTAAACATATGCTATTCTTACAAAAAATAAAACTACTGTAATCTAAGTTTAGAAGCAAAGAATATCCTTACATTGCTAAATAAAGAAAATATAGGCTGGGCGCAGTGGCTCACGCCTATAATCCCAGCACTTTGGGAGGCTGAGACGGGTGGATCACAAGGTCAAGAGATCGAGACCATCCTCGTCAACAAGGTGAAACTCCGTCTCTACTAAAAATACAAAAATTAGCTGGGCATGATGGTGCGTGCCTGTAGTCCCAGCTACTCGGGAGGCTGAGGCAGGAGAATTGCTTGAACCCAGGAGGCGGAGGTTGCAGTGAGCCGAGATCGTGCCATTGCACTCCAGTCTGGGCAACAACAGCAAAACTCCATCTCAAAAAAAAATATATATATATACACAGAGAGAGAGAGAGAGAGAGAGAGAGAGATTTTGAAGAATATTGTCAGAGCCTCAGATATACAAAACAAATATTTGGTAATGATTTATGGTCTATTTTAGATATAGGCTGACAAAAATGAGTGAAAATCTTATAATCTTTATTTAGCTGCCTACATTTACTTTCCACCTGCCTACTAATT